CTAAAATGCCTTTTCTCTCCCACAAATGCTATTTCTACATATCTCTTTAAAGAGCCAAAACCAACAAAGTGGGACCACTAAAAAAATAGACTAATTAAATGTAGACATGTGGAAAAAAAATAACATTAAACAATATTAAGAAATAATAAAACACTTATTTTTTTCACTCCAATATAAATGGCTCTTCAAATGGCTTTTTTCCATTGGAATAAATATGGTAAAATAAGCTATATTTATACTATTTAAAATGCTATTTTATCAATTTAGCTTTTCAAAATAGCATTTTGGATTGGAGATGCTCTAAGTACCTGTCTTGTCCTCCTTCCACCATGTCCATGTCCAGACCACCAACCGGAAAGTAAAGCAAATCAAGTAAGCGAGAATTTCCTCTATCCCCAGTCCTTCTCGCCGGAACATTTTCCCGTAAACAATCTCCGGTGACCCCCCATTAAAAAATAAAGATCACAACTTCATTCATCATTTGGTCATCAATCCCATTTCCATTCATTACTTTTACGTTGACCTTTTAGTCTTAGTTGATCGATCATGCTCAAATTTTATACATAAGGCTTTTGAAAGCATATTTTTGTGTTTTCTTTTGAATCAGTCTCTGAAAGTTTTCTGGGCCTTCTTTTATTTATTATTTATTTTTATTAGATGATGGGTTTTGTTACTCTCTACTGAACAAGTATTATTTTAATAATCAGGTAAAAAGAATTGAGAGAGGGAGATGGAGATGGAGATGGAGAGGGAGAAAGAACAAGAGTTTGAGTGGCTTAAAGCTCAAAAGATTGAGATAACTGTGGATCTTTTGGCTGCAGCGAAACAGCAACTTCAGTTTCTTGCTGCCGTTGATAAGAATCGCTGGCTTTATGATGGTCCTACCCTTGACAGGGCCATTTTCAGGCACGAATAAATCTAACCCTATCCAATTGCCTGAATTGATTTTCTTTTGCTTCATTTGGCTCACCTTACCTTTACTTGTCTTCGGACTTCAAATCTGCTGGTTATTCTTTATATATTATATATATTGGTTTTGTTTTTGTTGTTGCTACTATAAATTTTTTTGTTAATACATTCACTTGGGAATAGAGATATCTGTGTGTTTAAGTCTGCTTTGTCATTTTATGGATTATAATTATGTGAAAAGACCACTAAAATCAAAGTAAAGAAGGTATCCACCCTTTTTTTTATCTTCTTTTTTCTATATGCATTCTAGGAGGACTTGAATCTTAGTATTTTCTGGGGTTTAGTCATAGTTTGTCTCTTAAGTGTACCTTTCATATGGAAGTTCAATCCCTGCACACATCTATCAATTTTATGAATGTTAATCTCAATTTTCAGGTACAATGCTTGCTGGCTTCCCTTGCTTGCAAAACATTTGGAGTCGCCAATTTCTGAAGGACCATTGGTGGTGCCTCTTGATTGTGAATGGATTTGGCATTGCCACCGGCTCAATCCAGTAGGTTACTAACTACGATATTGTTGCCTTGACTTTTTATGTTTAGTTGGTAATCATTGTTTGTTGGCTTTGCGATCCAGCTACGGTACAAATCTGACTGTGAAGAACTTTATGGAAAGATCCTCGATTACTCTGATGTTGTATCCTCTGTCAATGGAGTTTGTAAAAGGAAAACTGAAGAAATTTGGAACAGATTCTATCCACATGAGCGTTATGACTTCGATTTGGCTTTCTCAGAAGCTGTCAATGAAAAAATTTCAACCCTTGAGAAATGTACGAGCTATGATTTGGTGTCGGCTGTTAAAAGGCAGAGCCCTTTCTTTTATCAGGTAATGAAAGGATAATCTTGATCGCTTATGTCACAATCTTTGAATTTATTGGCAATCATATTTTTTTATCATTTGAAGTGAAGATGACATATGGCTAGAATAGTTTGGCTGAGATGCTACTTTTGTTGCTGTCTCATAAATTAATGTAGTTAGTAGCATGATAACTGCTTGGTTGGCACTTGGATATGAGAATAGCGATAAGATCAGTTTCTTACAATTTAAAGTCACTAATTGATTGCATAAAGAAACAATCGTGCAAAGTTTCCTTGAATTTTTAATGTTTTTACAACTGTCTTTTTTCCCGGAGTATGATTTGGAACAATGCTTCCTACTATTCAGAAATGGTGGAAAAAGAAGCATCTTTCATGAAAACATTCGTATTCTTAGTTTCATAAGGGTTGTATGGCATCTCAAAAACTTCACATCATAATAAATATGTAAGTGGTGGAGAGCCCTTTCGTGGTCTTTCTGAGGGAGAACCCCATATTCTATAAAAAACTAAACGAACTATATATTCTTAATTCCATCAATAAGTGAGTGCCAGCAGCACAGTTGAAAGTTAAAGAACCATCCGTTTAAAGTTATTTGGTTTGCTTTTGTGATTATGAACATGTGCAAATTCTTTTTACATGGTTAATTACTTCATATGCTTTCGGCACACACATGGAGTTATGTGCAGCTCAAGGTTTCTTTTGCCCTGGTGCCCTGATCTTGTATTTTTGTTTTTATTTTTTACATTCCCTGGTTTAGTTCTCTTCCTCCCATTTGTGACAGGTTTCCAGACCCCACATGAACAATGATATTTTCCTTCAAGGAGCTATAGCCAGATATAAAGGGTTTTTGCATATTATCAAGAGGAATAGGGAAAAGTCCATAAATTGCTTTTGTGTTCCAACTTACGACATTGATCTTATCTGGCACACACACCAGTTGCATCCTGTTTCTTACTGTAAAGATGTGAGTCAAGCACTTGGCAGGATATTGGCGCATGATGACATGGACTCTGACAGATCTAAAGGGAAGAAGCTGGATGTTGGATTTTCTGGAACCACGAGGCATTGGGAAGAGACATTTGGCAGAAGGTATTGGAAGGCAGGTGCAATGTATAGAGGCAGCGATCCATCTCCTCTCACAACCATTCCGTTCCAATCAAATATCTTGAGCAAAGAGTTAGAAAAATCAAATCAAAACAAGAAGATGATTGAACTTTCAGAGCGGAAGATTGTTGAGGTAATTTCTGATCACTGTTCTTTTTCCCTTCCCCAGATTTATTATTTTGTTTATCATTTGTCAATTTGAAGTTCTCTGAAACCTCTCTTTCTTCCTGCTCCTATCCACTATTTTTTTAGTTTAAGTGACACATCAATAAATGGGCAATGAATCTAAAGTTAGGATTGTTATGGCCAATGAGGTTCAACTGACATTAGTGTCACCCCTCCTCCCAAGGGATCTCAAGTTCTAACCTCAAGTTTGTAACAAGAAAAAATAGGAATGTTCTATTTCTTATGCAGCCTAGAAGCTTATGAACATATACATTCAACCTCCTTTCTGATTTATCAGTATCACTTAGTGCAACCACTAAAGTGGCTTCAGTTCCTTTTCTGTTTGGCGCTCTACATATGCCAATTGATTATATATGCTGGCTATTTTACTGTGACCGGTTACATTCTTATTTTTTTCTTCTTCATACTATTTAGGTCCTTTTGGAGATCGTGGGAGTCAAAAACTTACCAGAGAGGCACAAGGGAAAACTCTTTGTGATGTTTAATAAAAAGCAACCTGATGTATTCTTTAATGTTAAGCGGAAACTTACTATCCTGTCAGAATCAGGAAACAAACATGTTGCTTCTTTCCAATGTGAACCTAAGGGAGAGCTTTTCTTTGAACTTGTATCACATTCACCTTCCACCTTACCACTAACCAAGGTGTGTACAACAATGGGCACTACCTCGTTCTCCCTGGAAGACTTTCTGAACCCGGTGTCTGAACTTTCTGTGGAAAGATGGGTGGAATTGGAGCCTACTTCTGGAAATATGAGCTCAAAGCCAATCTGCCTCCGAATCGCTGCCTCATTTAGTGTTCCCATCCAAGCACCATATGAACTGCACATGATTCGTTCCCAAGCACAGTCAAAAAGTTCTTGCTTCTTCCCACTTCCTGGAAGGGCACAACATCCTAATATCTGGACTTCTGTAGTTGATAAAACTGATGCTGAGATTATCAGCCTACAAATGAGGTATGCTTGTATCCACATATCATCTCAAGTTTAAAACTGTAATTCCAGCCTTTACATATGCAGTAAAATTATGGCCTATATCAGAATGTTATTACTTCAAACACTCAACGCCCTGCATCTGAAGAACCTTAAATTCATTAATCAAAGAAATACGTGTTCATATGTTATATTGTAAGCGAGTGTAATGAATATTAAAAATGAACAGCACCTGTAGTTGCACCAAGGATTATGATAATAGATAATTTCACACTTGGTCTCCAATAAAATATGTTTTGATTATAGTAACTCTACATGGTAATGTAGTTTTCTCAAATTTGGAGATTTTATTTGTTGAAATATCCTGCATTAACAGAACCTGTCCTTTTCTTTCAGTGTGATAGTAGAATTTGTTCGAGTTGTTAGAAACTTGAGATCTTTTGGCAGTGTATGCTTGTCAAGCATCTTTCTGTTGGCATGTGACATGATAGCAGGACCTTATTATATATTCCAAAGCATTATATCATTTTCTGGCTTTAATTGTACTTTAGGAACTCAACAAAGGCAAAGGAGAAAGAAAGAAGCATTCTTAAGCAGCAAGTAACTGGTGTTATGAAGACTGGTGAAACATGTATTCTTGCTGAGTTTGTGGGGACTCGGTGGTGTTTGATGGATTCTCAGTGGTACCTTGAGCCACAAAAGAAATCCAATGAAGATGGTCATCTCTTTGAGCTCATAGGCTGTCGGATGGTAGTCATCTTTTACCTTTCACTTTTTTCTCTAAAATTTGTTATTTTGATATCCTTCAAATTCTTTTAAAATCCATTATTCTTTATGAATTTCCATTATGAACAATCATTCCAAATAGCCTGAACATCACTAATAATATTGATCATCTGTGAAAGAACTGCATTTTTTTTTGTTACTTCACCCTCAAATCTTTAACAAGGATTTTGCAAACCAACATAGAAACCAGTACAATGTGCCATATTCAATAGTTTCGTAGTGCTAATTTAAGGTTGAAGCTTAGCTGAGTTGAACTAATCGGGGTCTTCAACCTGAATAGGACTGCATTCTCACCCACATGGATCATGCTTTCACTCTATGTATTGTCCTCATGGTTTTAGAGTCTTAATTTTTTAGCTAACCACAGAACTTGCCATCGTTTCAGAGTATCTTACAAACTTGTGTTGAATTTTTCTCTGGCCAGGTAAAACTTTTCCAGGGAAAGAAGCTCGATTTTGAGCCTAAACATTGCGAGAAGAAGAGAAGTAAACAAGATTTTATGACTGCTGTTGAATTTTCTGCTGAGTATCCATATGGAAAAGCTGTGGCATTGCTTGATTTAAAGTCTGGATTTGTCAAGGTACACTACTGCTCATCACATTGACTAGAATGCTATTTACATATCCCAAATTGTATCTGATTTAAAACATATTAACAGGTAAAGGAATCATGGTTGGTGTTGCCTGCAATCATATTAGCCTTCATACTTTCTGATATTTTGAAGAAGGAAGGATATAATGGCTTCACTTCTAACAGAGAAAATCTGGAGGTAGATAGTTTAGTGGAAAAGGCCAAAGGCTTTCATGAGAAACCTGAGCAAATCAGCCTGACTGCTGCTTCAGAAGGTAACAAGGAGCTGAATGTGGACGTGGCTAAAGGAAGCATAGTGAGGAGTGGAAATTGTGGTGGCGGTTGCAGTGGTGGATGTGGAGACATGGTGAGGAGTGGAAACTGTGGTGGCGGTTGTAGCGGTGGATGCGGGGACATGGTGAGAAGTGGAAACTGTGGTGGTTGTGGCGGTTGTGGCAGTGGATGCGGGGACATGGTGAGAAGTGGAAACTGTGGCGGTTGTGGTGGTTGTGGCAGTGGATGCGGGGACATGGTGAGGAGTGGAAACTCTGGTGACAGTGTGTGTGGTGACACAATGAAGAGTGGAAATAGTGGGGGTTGTGGTGGATGTGGTGGTTGTGGCGGTGGATGTGGCAACATGGTGAGGAGTAGAAACTGAGATGGCCCATGCTTGTGGTAGCCTGTGCCGCTAAAAAAAAAGTATTAGGCTGTGTGGTAAGATCCTGCAGTGATGGCTGTCCTAGGAATCACTCATCCAGGCAAATGAGAAAGAGATCCATTTTAATAATGAAGGCATGGACTCTACCAGTCTTAATAAGGTTTCATTACCGGAGGAAAATAATAAGATCAAGAGATTGTTAATAGGCAATGTTCTCATTATCATATCAAGTGTGGTGGAACCTCTTATTGTGTACGTGTCTATTAACATTTTTTCCCCATCTCTGCATACTGAACAGAGTATGGCGATTGCTTCTATTTCTGTTTCGTCAATTCTCAGCTCCAATTCTCATGCAAGCTTGACATGTTTCTGCTTCGTGTCTCGTTCATGCCACTGTAGTTGTTGATGCCTCACTTCAGTTTGGGCATGTCATTGAGGTTGGCATGCGTTCATTGAAATTATCTGACAATTCATTATGTATATTAATTTCATGGTGCTGGCTATGTTCGAGGAACCCTAAAGTCCTTTTGATTGATTTGAAATTCCCCCGAAATCCTGCTATTTTTGGTGTTTTTCAAGAGAGAATTAATTTTACCCTCCTGTCCTCAATCACTTTCATTTCTGAATTCTTTCACGAATTACAGTTTAAGTCTATAATTTGATAACACTGGAAATCTAAGGAAATCCACCGAAGAAGGAATAAGAGCCTCCCTTCGCCAACTGCCTCCTTTTCCAGTCCACCACCAATAATGGAATTTTTTTCATCAACAATACCAGTCCAGTGCTTTTCTTCTCTCTCACCCACTCATAAATCAATTTTAATTCAAAACTTCATTTTCTCTGTCACTGTCACTTTCTCTCTTCTTTACACTTCTACTCTCTCCTTGGATCTTTGGTACAGCTTCTAGATGTTGGGTCTAATAAAAAACAATTGCGGATGTGGGCTGTGGCAGTCAGTTTGGGTTGTGGAGATGGTTCGGGCAGTGACTCACGGTTGAGAGGCTGGGAATGATTTTGATTTTTGTATGGACTCTGTGAAGACGGATTGTGATGGTGGCTGATTTGTGAGTAGATGAGAGGATGGGTTTGATTGAAAGAGAGGGAAGATTGGGATCGGTTTTGAGAAGGCGGGCTGGAAGATCACCGCTGTGTTGATGGTGGTTGTGGGAAATTGATTGGTGCTGGAGGAGTTGCAGCAGGCAGTGGATGGTTGTTGTGTTCGATTGTGGCAACCGGTTTTGTTGATCGGCGGTCACTGCGCGTGTATTGATGGCGGGTTTGTTGCCTGGAGAGAGGCTTTGTTTGATAATTTGTTTGAAGTCATCCCATCACTCCATGTCTCTCATCTATTTTCGACGGTGGTTGCTTTAGAACATCAGACAGATTTCTTTTCATAGTAAAATCTTGGTTTTTTATTTGAGAAGAAAAGCTGAAGTTATGGGTTGTGTTTCTTTAATTTGATGGGTCAATTAATTCCTCTTAAATAGGTTGATCCGTAACTACTCCTTTCTTAAAAAGCACATAACTTGGGTATTTGATTTGATTGCAGTAGAAATATGCTGGGAGTCTTGAAAGCAGTTTTAAACGTAGGAGTATTATGATCATAAGTGTTTAGAGGTGCTTCTAAAGATGGATCCTTTTTCTTCATTGGCACACAAGCAATAGTCATGGAGCATAAACCTTTGACACTTTTCTTCCACCATTCTCAAATTGCACAGGCTAACCTTGGCTAGTTTAGATGCACTTTTAATTAAGTTATTAAAGTGCTCAAATTTAATAGCTTGAAATTATGCAGGTTCTTCCCTTTTAAGTAATACCTTATGTTCATGCCATTGAAATGACATCTATAACTTTTTATGATTGGATACAATTCCTAACACCATACATTGAATGCATCAACCATGGGATACAATTCCTAACACCATGTCATGATAATTTAACTCAACATTGAATACATCAACCATAAAATTCACTACATATATCTTTTATTTGAAATCCTTACGCATTGTTGAGTAAATTATGATCCTTTTATTGACAGTTTTCATTGTTAAAGATGTGATAACAGTGAAAATTATATTATAACTTATTAGCCACTTTAAAATTAATAAAATTAAAGGTTTTGTTAAAGTTTACCATAATAAAAGGTAAATATTTATTCACCTTTCTAGTTACTTAAAGGGTATGAACCATTAACACTCTCCAATATATTGATGGATATCTAAGAGGTAATAGTTTTAGAATTGAAATTATTGTTTCTTTTCACTGTTTTTTATATGTCGTTCATCTTCTACAATATACAGATAATAGAGTTTCTTAATTTTTTTTACTTATAGCATGGCACAAATTTCTTATCATACCAAAAACATAACCTTTTAATTCTTCTCTCATCTAACTCCATATTTTGTAATGACTTGGTTGGTTTGATAATTGATTTAAAAGTGAAATTTTGAGTAGGTGTATCTAATAAACCAGGTTTATAAAAATTTAAGATATTAATAGTTATAGAGTATGTGTTTCTGTTTAGGGTAGGATGTTGATTAAATCTAGATTGACTAATTAAGGTCATGGTATATGTAGGATGTTTAAAGTTGTTGTGGTGGTTTTTTTGATAAGACAAGGTATTTTTTTATAGACAAGCCAAATTATAAGCTTGTTTCAATGCTTTAAGTTCTAACATTTTAACTATGTTTTTAATCTACAAGGCTTGCTTCTCACTAATCTCTGTCCTATTTTATATAATATCATAATCATGAATATAAGCCTCCAAACTTCCATTTTACTTAAGATGCTTCGACTCTTCTAAAGGATCTTTTTGTTCCCCAAACCTATAGCATAAAACTTATTATTCAATTATTAAGGCAACTTAAGATTGAAAAAGGGGTGAATTTGTTGTATCACTAAATTTCACACTTAAGATAAATTAATTCAAGTAAATACAATAATCAACAATATAATTAAAGTACTTCAAGTAAAGAGTTAAGGAATAAAATTTGTAAACTAGTTTTCACATGGTCCGACAAACCTACATTCATAATCAAGTATCAAATCATATTTGAGTATTGTACTCCTTAACTAGTCCAAGCTCATGAGTATAATTCTACTTGATGAATTCAATATAAGCTTTTTACACCACTTGAAGAAAACTCAGTTTTTGTCCACTTGAAGATATACCCTCGCCAAGATTTTTTTTATTTGGTGAAATTCTCTCAGCAATACTGAAATTTTTTACCTAGCTTTTAAAAGTTTACAATAATGATTTGGTTTTCACATCAAACTCTCTCGATATAATGGATATTACAATTTAATCACTAAATAACACTTATAAGATATGAAGGTGTTTAAGTTTAATGACAATATGAATACTTTTTATGCTAGAATATAAAGGTTTAGTAGTATAAACTAGAATGTATTGATGATTTTAAAGTTATTTTACTCTTAGAAGTTTGTATATCATATATGTTTGGATTCCTTTTCTAATTTTTCAATTAGACTAGTTATATATAAGTTTCTAAGAAAAATTAATGGTTTATAGTCATTACAGTCCCACTAACAACTAAAATGGTCAATTAATTCATGAAAAATTCCTAAGTTTTCATCAATAATGAATAAACAGTCAACTGGTTGATTTGGTAACCTCAAACAATAAATTAGTTTATGCAATATTTTATATTTAACAGTTTAACCTAGGTGAATTTTTAACTTAGATTTAGTGTTTTCTAATTAAAGTATTTTAAAGTATTGTCTTCTTTATTGTCTATATGATCATCTTCATCATCTTTAATGTGATGGACAGTTTTGAATGCTAAGTTCTTTTTTGGCTTTTCTTCTTGTTTTTTCTTATTTATAATGGTGTCATGAGGCATCAAAGATCCAATAAGCTCCTCAAATCAAAGTTTGGTGAGATTTTTGGCTTTTTGAATTGTCGTTACCTTTGCTTCCTAAGTTTTTGGTAAATACCTAAGAATTTGCTCATAATTTTGGCATTAGTGCATGTTCTACCAAGTGCATCCAAACTATTTATAATGATAGTCATTCTATTCAATATATCACTAATGGATTCACTAGAAAGCATTTTAAACAATTCATATTGATGAACTCTTTGAGTTGGTTAGTTCTTTTATAAGTTAGTTCTTTCATAAGTTACTTCTAAGGCATTCCAAATTTCTCTAGCATTTTTACATGATATAATTCTATTGAATTCACCTCTACTTAAAGCACAATATAAGGTATTCATGGCTTTGGCATCCAATAAAAGTGATTTCTTATCATTATCTGTATATTTAATTCTAGTTTTAAGAATCTTAACACCATTTTTAATTTTAATAAGTCTATGAGATCTATTTTCTATGTATAACCATAAATCAAAATCAATAGACTGAAGATAAATTATCATTATAGCTTTCCAATAGGTATAATCATTACTATAAAAAATAGTGGCATGGATGTGCATGATCCTTTATTTTAGAGATTATAACTAGTTGTTATTTTACTCAAAGTTTAAGCAAACTTTATATATAAAAACTAAGCTCTGGTATCAATTATTGTTCAAAAATTAAGGTAAATTAACACCAAATAAATGGTGAATTAGGTGTATCACTAAATTTTACACTGAAGACAAATTACTTCAAGTAAATACAACAATCAATAATATAATTAAAGTACTTCAAGTATTGCAATTTTGCAAATTTGTTTTAACATAATTCAGTAAATTTACATCCACACCTCAAGTATCAAATTGTACTTGAGTATTATATTTCTTCATTAGTCCAAACTCAAGAGTACAATTTCACTTTATGAATTCACACGAAGCTTTTTACTCTACTTGAGAAAAACCATTTCTTCAATAAAACTTGTTTAACACTTATTCTTCACCAAGCATATTATTAGTTTATTTTTCATTTTATTGTTATCATGAAAATATATAAAAACATAAATGTGTGACTCTAAAAGTCAACAAAACCTCTACATATTCATCCCAAGAAACCTCTTAACCTCCTAAACTCTTTGTGAAGTTTTGATGTTCATAGAGGGTCATATCATCCAAGTAACACAAGATAATTTTAGACTGAATTAGACCTCTCTCTTCCATTTCTCTTGTAACAAAAGCTAAAAGAGGTGGTGCTTATTGTGCACCACTTTATAAAAATTATTTATTATAATAGTTGTTGTTTTTCTACCCTTGTGTTTTTCCTTTAACATTTGAATTATTGAATATTAAGCTTCATGATTTATTATGATTTGCTTTATGTGGTTATTCGAGTCTTATGATCTAAATCATGAGTTTTATGAGTTGACTCGGGTTATGACACGACTAAAAGATTGATGTATTCTCCCAAGTGCAGGAGTGTCGAAGTAATAAATAACCCAGCAAGACCGGGGTCGAACCACAGAGAGGTTAATTGTACAAATTATAAACGACAATAGTAACAACAACAACAATAACAATAATAATAATAGTAATAACAGCAATAATAATAATAATAATAATAATAATAATAATAATAATAATAATAA